ACCTCGAAGATAGATACTAACTAAAAATTTGTCAATTGTCATAGATGGAGGAAACAGAGCTGCATATTCTGTGAATTTAAGATTATAGTCCTCCAATCCTAATGTATCTTCTTTCATGTTTAGTAGTTGATTGATAATCTTATGATGGTCAATTTTATGTGCATAATGTTCAACAAATTTTGTCTTGAAAGATTCATATGTGCAACCTGGTGAATTGCGGTAGCATTGTGCTGCCCATACCCCAGCAGTACCGTATAATCTGTCGCACAAGAATGCTATTTTTTCTGCATCAGTGTCAAGTTGTCTCGTGTCCATCCTCATTCCCATATTTGTGATGAAAACGTGTAACTTAGCTGCATCCTCTGTTCCAGTGAACTTTTCTTCTGGGGGAATTGAACCTCCAATTTTTGTCTCGGAAAGTCTTGATTTAGTTGGTGTTGCCCTTGGCATGATTTTTTGATATTTTGATAACTATTCTCTGTGATAACCTAGTACCGTTTAGCGCTACCAGATGTTGTATGCCAAACCCTCTAGTGTGTGTCACCTTTCAGCTTAGAATACAACTTAATTTATTATTTCTAATTAGCAACCTTTATATATGGATAGCTAATATACATCTTAGTGATCTACCTACTGTATTTATATACCTTCATTATTGACTCACTTTCTTGACATGTAAGAGTCATTCTTTCTCAACCCGGACCTTGTTAGATTATCACATTCATGTTCCAACCTGTCACATTCACATTCCAACTTATCACATGCTAGTTCCGACTAATCACAATTGTGTCCTAATTCATTACGACAATTTCAACAAATTACGGGCGTGTGGCGTAGTTGGTAGCGCGCTCCCTTAGCATGGGAGAGGTCTTCGGTTCGACTCCGGACTCGTCCATTTGTTTTTTACTTCTCGATTATTTAAGATTTGCTATAACAATAACTTTTGTTTTCTGGGGAAATAGCTTAATATGTTGAAATTCTCCATTACTATATAAAATTAACCATTTCCGAAGTATTCAAACCCCTTCTATTCCCTGACTTATTTTTATATCTCAATTTTCTAGTCTTCCTCTTTAAGCGAGGAAACTTTTCTTGAAATATCTGGTTTTTATAATGTTATTTTAACTTCAAAGCACAATAAAGCAATCCATAATAAAAATATATTAATGATCTAATAATCCGACCAGATTTACTAAATTCACATTTAATATGACAGAAATATTACTTATTTTAGAATAATATAAATGTTTTCTTTGGAATATGTATGAATGGATTTTGTTTGACTTTACTTTAAAATAAAGCTTAATTCATTTGATAAGAACCAGGTGATCAAGTGGTATTAGTTAAAAATCTTTGGGAAACACTTATATAAAGAGAGTTATTACCGTTTTTAAATTGATACTAAATAAATATCTAAGAATTCTAAAACTAATTGCCGTTTAATTTGAATGGCTTGATCTTTTTTTTTTGATATTATATTACTCAAAAGTTAAAATTTCGACTATATTTTTAACTCATAATCACAAACTTGTAATCATACATTTTTGCCTAATATATAACTGTGCCTTAACTTTAAGGCTGTTTTTACTAAAAAAAATAGAAACAGAAAGGACTCAAGTAAATATCTCAATTAAAATTCAACTTGCTCTCCTTTTTATATTGTATACTATATAGATATGTACTATTATAAAATGTTTTTATCGTTTTCAAATATTACCAAAGGCTCGAGGCATTGGTTATATGACTTATAGGTAGAATATAAATATTTATCATCAAAAACTCTTTGGCAAGAATCTTATATCTAATAGTAATTTTGTAATTAATCATTTATTATTATATAGATATAAATACAAGTTTTTAATATTAAATTGTAAATAATAGTATTGTGGTGCGGTTGATCTGATACTATACAATTTCACCCCTGGTTTTAATTACTTAATCAAGTTTATTTCAATATGTCATTTGTTTCATTCTTATTGCCCATAAAATTAATATGTAAAACTTTAGTATCTAATTATGTTACTCTAAAAAATTAATCTCGTGGTGCATTGTGTTGTTTGGTCTGGAATATTAAATATTAATATAATAAGTATTTATCTAGGGAAACAAAGCGTAGATATAAATACTTCAGGTTAATAAACTATTCTAATAACTATACAGTAGTATTAAATACATAAAGATCCTTATGGTCCTTTGCTTAATAGCAAAAACTATATCTCTTTACTTCAGGAACTATGTCCCTTATATATGTCATATTAACAATTTATTAGTGTCATTCTTTGTATGAAACATAACAATATCCTTTTTCCTTATTGTTATCTTTTAGTACTGAAGTACAATCAATATAGAATTTCCTTTTGACATGTTTAAATTATTTATATTTTCATTAGTATCTTTATATTTAGCCTTCCTTCAATACCTTTAAAAAAAGATATTTTATGGAATTGGAAAAAAACATTGACAGAAGATTCTGTTATAGAAGAAAATATTTACTATAAAAAGAGTATTCTTGAGAATACTCTTCCAATTTCTATTGTAAAACTTCAAACTTGTAGCCGTTTGATTTAATTTTAATAAGTTGTATTTTATTTTGGCTCAAAACAACCTTTATTTAAGTTATTAGCCGAAGTTATGGCTTAGCAGTACAAAATAACTTCTGCCTTTATATGTGATATATATCTAATAAGAAATATATATTTGGATGTTATATTATATAATTCTAATGAAGTTGCCAAAATAAAGGTTTAACATACTTGTTAAGCAGTTTCATTGATTAAAGTAAATTTTTAATTAAATTTGTATATGATCAAATCATTCTTGAAAACCAACCAAATATCTATTTAAAAATTAGTTAACATACAAAATAATACTCACTTTTTTTCTCTTCACCAAAATAAATTCCCTATGAGTAAAAAATTGAGTATTTAAAACAGGAATTAACTGCGGCACTGGTCCCTCTATCAGCCAGATCTTTGATTATCGGATCTCATATTTATATACATATGATGTTTAACTATACTAATTCCATTGCGTTTATGCTTTTATAAAATATATTTTTAATCTTTATCCTCTGTTTAACTTAATGTCTAATTTATTTATCTAAAGTACATGGCAAAATCTATTCCAAAAAGGTGAACTAATTACTACTAACAATATCTAGCCATGGATCTATTTAGCTTACTGTAAGATTTCATAACTTTATTACATTATATTAAAAATTCAAATAAGAATAATAATCTCTAGAATATTTCTTTGAAGAACCAAAATACACTGTGAGATACCAAAAAGTATCCATTACTCTTTTAAAATAAATTAAAATAAAAATTCCTACACTTCTGTAATAAAGTAATCCCTAGTATATGCTTATCACATGATTAACCCATAGCTTTAACAAAAAATTATGGAGCATCGTTGTATTTAAGATACATGTTGAAGATTATAGAGCAGTTAGTTAATTTCAGACTAGATGAAGGACAAGGATAACAAGAGATAAGTCAAGAAGTCAAGATAACAAGTCCAGATAACAAGTCAAGAGATTTAGTCACAAAATCTACAGACTAGTTACATAGATTATATAGTCACTGAAAACTAAGAGTTATAATAGTATATTCTTCAACAAACAATCTTGTAATCTAGTCTCTTGAAGGGTGTGTTTGTTCAGATGTATATTTAATATCTGACTTATTCATTTTGGTAATTATATTTAAGACGGTTTTGAAGTTAGAACTATATGTATTTCTCCAGAGAATCAAATAAATGAACCAAATAAATACGTATTAATATATTGTACAGATAATATTTTGATATTCCAAAATATCATATCCTTTTATATGGTTAGACCCATTTCTATAATCTAAGTATTATCAATCAATTATATTAATTCTGCCGTTGCACTTCACTACCAATGATTCAACTGCTGATTATAACCTGATATTAATGATAATGTTAATAATCTATCGGATTAGTAATATTTGATTGTACCTTGCTATTGCAATATGCTTTAAGCCTAGACGTATATTACCTATATTTTCGGTTACAAAAGTGTTCTTTTCTCTATCTTAGAATACAACTTTTCTTATTTATATCTCAATGACAACTCTCTATATAGTTTAACTAATGTACCCATTTATTCTATAACTGTTCAGATGTTAACTTAACATCTGAGTTATTCATTTTGGTGATTTGATTAAGATGATTTTGAAGTAATAGTAATATTTATTTATTTCTCCGTACTGTCTTATAAATGAACTAAATAAATATATAATAATAAATTGGACAGATGATATTTCGATATTTCAAAATATCATGTCCTTTTTATATGGTTAGATCCAATTTCATAATCTTATTATTATTAATTAATTATCAATAATTCCTTTGTACTTCACTACCGCTGATACAATTGATTGTTGTCAATTCCTTGGTTATAGTTTCTTTCTATAATTACTTTTTATAATTACTAATTATAATCAATGATTATCATTACTAATCATAAGTGCGTATTGTTATTTCTAATTATATCCCGATATTAATAATCATATCCTGATATTAATAATCATATTAATAATCCATTGAATTTGTAATATTGGATTATATATTATCATCGCGGCAATTGTCAAACATTGCGTCATGACAATATCCTGTGTACCTACCATTATATTAACTACATTTTAGGTCACAACAATAACTGTTGTATATTTATATTGTCAAAATGGTAAGAGCTTTAAGCTTATGATGAGAGTAGATATACGTTAAATAGGTACGTTGACCTATTACTGAGGTCAGTGAGTGGTAACTCGCTCATCCTCTTGTAACAGAGTAGTCTATATAACATAAATAGTTTTATATATCGGAACTGAAAATTTGTTCCTTTTATATATTAGAGAAATCGATACATTCATCTTATAGGAAAAACAGCAATAGTGACATAAACTTTATCCTCGAGTATCCAGGTTAAAGTCACAACATATATACGTTCCCTTGTATCTCATCTCTTTTAATGTGACACTAATTATCTTGTAACCCGGACATAACTAATTATCACAATTGACCATAAATATTTATAAAAATTTTCAACAATTCAGATGGTCCCTTGGCCCAGTTGGTTAAGGCGTGGTGCTAATAACGCCAAGATCAGCGGTTCGATCCCGCTAGGGACCATTCTTTTTATTTTTATGACCCTTTTTATGATTGATAATGGAAAACTTTCCAGGTCAAATTATTTCTATTCCTCTATGTAATAAGTACACCAATTTATCAGTGTCTGTTTTTTTGAATTAAACACATGCATATCTATATAAATTACCAATCTATACTAACTAAATAAGCTTCAGTTTCAACTCCCTTTTCTTCATCAACTTCACCAAAAATGTGATCAAAACTTTCAAATTCCAAAGTAGGTAAAACCTTTAATTTTCTAGTTGACTCAGCACTTAACAAAGAATCATAGCTCCAATCAAGGAAATCTTCCATATTATAATTTAATTTCTTAAAAGGTTGAGCGAATATTTTTGCTAATGTTGCCACATTAGGATGATAATGATCCATCAAGGTAACAATTTCCCATAAAGATGAATTGATAGCATTTGTTAATTCTGGATTAGTTTCACTATCGTCATATGAATCTTTATAATTTAGTTTCAGTTCTCTTAATGCCATCCTTTCCTCATCAGTAGCAAATGCGTTTTCGATAAACATTGGGTTGTGTAACATGATCATACAATTTGGATGCTTCCTCAGTAGGTTGTAAATGAATGGAATTATTGTAACAATGGCTGCAGGTGGGGCAGTTAAAGATAATCTAGCCAACTTTTTAATAAAAGAAGCTATTAGATGGGTTGATAAATGTGATGATGATAAAAATAAGTCAATTAATCTAAAAAATCTTGATCTGTATTTGACATGCATTAAATCTGGAACTAAGCATTGGTATAATTTTGGATAAAAATTAGGATATTCCAAATTAAATAATCTCATTAATTCAAATAAACCGTTTAAGGCCAAAATTGGAATTAACCCACTGTTATTATCCTTTTTACCTATGTTCACATTATAAGAATCGGTTAAAAAGTCCATTAGTTTGGAAGGTGTGTTAAAAATAGGTATAATTCTTTTGTGCAAAACCAATAAGATGGACTTATATTGGCCTACTGTTAAATCTGAATTTAGCATATGTAGCCAATTACTTTCGAAATTCGCTTTAAATTTTGAAATATCTTCAACAATCTTTGGAGGGTTTGAAACAAAAACTTCCAACGAGTCTTCTTCATTTGTATTTGAACAATGAACATCATGGTTTACAATAGTCATCCATTTCCCTACACCATTAATGGTGGTATAATTAACTTTTTCGTTCTCATCACATAGAAACTTGTTTAACTCTGCTTGAAAATAAAATTGTATATCAGCAAATTTTTTATAATAACTATTGGTGAATTCAATTACAATGCTATTTATGGATTGGCCATTTTCTGATTCTTCATCTTGAAAATTTGAGTTCCAAATAGCAGTTAATAATTTTCTAAATGATATATTTGGGAAATATGGATCATCTTCACCTGAAGAGAAATATTCTGATTCAAGTTCTAATAATTGCATGTAAATATCTAAACAATCTAAGGAGATGGAAGTTTCGAATGGAATATTTTGGATGATATTTAACAAGCAATTCTTAAAAGATTCAAACATCTTCTTACACCAATCTCTGAATTGCATTATTTCTGTTGATTTAGATTTCTTCATTGTAATTTCATTACGATTAAAAAGCTTCTTAAATATCTGGAACAAAGATACAACAACAAATCTTAATTTTTGTTCATTTCCTTCCCAGTATTGTTCATCAACTATATTTTCATCATTTATTGTTAATTCTTTAATAAGTTTGACAATAAAATTATAATTTGTCTTATCATCACTAGCGACAATTAGTTTGGAATTTTTTTTAATATCTTCCATAGACAACGACATCTTGAAACAATTTCGTTGTTGATATTCCTATATATTTATTGTATTAGATTGTATAATATTGAGAGCTATTTCACAATTATATGTCGTTATATTTAACTATTCTTATAAGCTCATCTCTTCTCATCGCATTGAAATTTTTCATTATTTCGCCTAAAACGCCCAAAAAAAAAAGAAATGGAAAACCAATAAGTTTACCCGGTTTCAAGATACTTCACGTATAAACTTCTTCTACCGTGTCTTGGAGTGATGAATGACAGAAATATAAAGATAGTGTGCTGATTTATGTAAATTGATCATAATATTTACATCCAAGGCATCAAGAAATATCCAATACCAGTACGATTTAATGTACACAGTGATATTTTTTTTGATAAACGTGACCTATGAACTGCCACCTCCTCTATAAAGATTCATCAATGTATATAAAACAAAAAGCTAAATCTCCTACTAAATACTAATTATTTAGATTTGGTAAAAATTCTTGCGATCGAATTGTTTATTAGTAAATTTGGTAAAGCTTTAACCGGATTAGGACAGGTAAAACAGCATCTAGTCTGTCGTCAAGAGAGTAACATATCCCCACCCCCGCCCAAAAGCGAAAAACATGGAATAAGCCTTGAAAACAGATTCCGGGACCAACTACGAATCTGAATATTAGTTACCTCTTCAATTTTTTCTTCTTCCTCTGAACTAATACCAAGACACATCGTATTAACATAACCATTTGAAATTACGACAAGAACTCCTCTTTGCCAATCTCAAGTGAATTTAATGAAAGAATTAGAGCCTCTGAAAAAAAACATATGAGTCTACAATCACCATGCATTAAAACTCAACCTCTCCAATTAAGAAATGTAAATAATAACTTTGCCGCTGATTTATTGTCATAAAGCTAGATATAACACTCTTTAACACTAGTATATCCATAATTTTAGACATTTCAAAGCCTCTCAAGTGCCTGATTTTGGTAATTTGACAAGCTCCTCAATTTTATCTGATTGTGCCTCCAAATTAACTAGTTTTTTTTATGTTCCCTACGCGATTCTTCTAACCAAACTTCGAAAATGAAAAAAATGAAAAAAAATTTAATTCGAGAGGCTTCCCATTTTCTTTTTTTTTGATCTCATCCCATAGCCTTCTGCCGCTACCAAGAGAAAAATACTCTTGAGAGATCGGAAAAAAAAAGAAGCGCAGATGAATGTATCAAATACACAACATGTTTCGATGAGACGTGGCTAACCATATTATAGTTTACAATATTCATTAAGTTGTGGCTATACCTAACCTTTTCGAAACAGTATTGTCTTTGTATACGCAATCATGTAATGAATATTCTTCAATGAAGCTGGAGGCGGCAAGATTATACAAAGAAGACAGCATCTTCATTGCTTCTCCTCCTTTTAATTTTATAATATGCTTAAACCAATTAACTATTGTTTTAGGTAGCTAATCAATAAGTCAATATACTTCATACCAATGAAAAAAAATCTTATTGCTGTACTCAAATAAGAAATATTATCATTGGTATCAAAGGTATATAATATGAATGTAAAAATGGGTATTGTTATTCTATTACCAACTCTTCCAATTTTAAATAATATATATAAATAAACAATATATATGAATAAACAACAATTGTAATTGTAATTGTCACCATACTGGGCGAGTTACCATCAAATAGACAATCAAAAACTAAAAATAAAAAATTAGCATTGTATCACTAAGATTAAAAGATGTCAGAATTTAATAATTTTTTATTAAATTCAACACATATAGCGGATATGGCAATTTCAAATGTCACTGACAGTAGTGGTAGGTTTTCATACTATGGTACTTTAGTACCAAGTTTAGGTTACAATGCTGCAATGATTGCTATTTGGGGTGTATTATTAATTATTCATGGTTTTCAATTACTTGCCTATCGTCAATATTGGTTTTCATACTCTTTTATAGCTGCAATTATTATTGAAATCGTAGGTTATGGTGGGAGAGTAGGCTCTCATTACGATGTTTATTCATTAGGTCCTTATATAGTCCAATCAATTGCTTTAGTTATTGCCCCGGTGGCTACAATGGCTGGTTTATATTATCAATTGGCTAAATTAATTGAAATATACGGACTGAGATTTTGCCGTTTGCCTTCACCAACATATTATTCTAAAATTTTTATTACATTTGATGTTGCTTCATTTTTCATACAATCGGCTGGTGGTGGTTTAGCCGGTGCTTTAGCTTCATCAGGTAGTGATTCTGACGCTGGTACTACATTGTTCATTATTGGTTTGGCTATTCAAATTGCTACAATGACAGCATTTGCTTTATTATGGGCTGATTTCATGTATAGAATTTACGTGAAATCTCGTAAAGAATATATGAATACAGAAAATAGAAATATTGGTTTCTGGCAAATATCTCAAACCATGATAGACTATCAATTCAGACCAAAATATAGCAAAATTAGAGTATCCCCAGAAAGATTTTCCTTCAAATATTTCCCTTTAGCATTTATGTTATCAGTCATTTGTGTCTTTGTTCGTTGCATCTATCGTTTAGTTGAATTTTCAAGCGGCTTTTTAGGTAATATTTCAGTACACGAATGGTATTTCATTGCTCTAGATGGTATCATGATGTTAATTGCAACTGTGTCATTAACGATTTTCCATCCCGGCCTTGCATTCCAAGGTAAGAGTTATGATATTCGCATCACAAAAGGTAAAGTAGAATCAGAAAGTGTTAATAATGAAGATGAAGAATTAATGGATCATGTTACGGAAGAATACGATTACGAAATGACACCAGGCAAAGCTACATGAATTCGAATATAATTTTTTTCATTTAGAACTTTCTAATAGTATAATTAATATATAATTTTCAATTCTTTTAATTTCAAAATCATTTAATTTTACTCAACCTAGTGTCACATACACAAACATACATATGTATCAGCACCTTTTGACAAATGTATATTCCAATTCAGTTCTTAACCATTTGGGCTTCAATCTTAAGATTTGAATAGATAAGATTAGAGGGGAGTAGATCAATTACCTGTTGCTATGGGACAAGATACTTCAAGATCTGTAAATTTTCTGTCGCTGACAAACTTTAATGGATCAGAAGAGACACCAAATAAAAAAGAAGCAAAAGAAACGCCGAGGGCGTAAAAGCCGGTTTCAAATCTAAACCCTCGTTCCGAAGGGAAGTCGGGATCAAAAATGTAGTTCCAAAAAAGGAAAAAGATGGCCAAGTGCAGACACAGCAACCCCTCTTTTCTGATATCCTCCCATTTATCTGGAAAACAAATCACTATACACGAGCCGATACAGACATTGGTTTGTGTTTCTTCCCGTACCGTTTCCGTTTAAACCCAGCATATGTACGGCGCCCCTCTCTCTGTCCAAACCTCGTTGCAAATGATACGGCTAGTTTCTCGAACTTAAGTTTTTACAACCTTTTACTTTAACTAGCAACCGAGGAAACAAAAAATCAAGGAAGAAAAGACGCAGCAGTGGTTTTTAATTTTGATTCGAATTAATTTCAAGCCGAAGAAGAATTTAAGAGATTACTGACAGAACTATAAGCCAAATCCAACTAAGCTTTAATGAACCAATCTTAACCTAATTCACAAATTGTATAACCAAGCTTTCTACCAATAACTGCAATATTTATTGTCAAGAACACTTCCATATCCAAGTTTCATTTGGATTTATTCAATGTTTAAAAATAACAGACCTTCTGACGTTTTATTGTTGTTGCCTTTACTGTCTCGCACAAGATAGAACAGCAGTAGGGGTTGAGTTTATTTAAGTAACTGGATTATAGCGATGATTGCAGTTGACCTCAACAGCATTTAACTGATGTAGTGTCTAGATCTCCTAGAGTTACTCACTACATTTTTTTTTTACTACATCCCTCTTCTTGTTATAAATATTTTCGAAAAAAATTATTTTCAGTTCTACTTGTGTTTCTGATGATCATTAAAAGATATCTTCCTAGGAGAGGTAACACTGTATTTTGATTACTCTTTGAAACGTTAGGGACTGAGTTGATAGAATGCGGGTCACATAGGGCTGAATAAGAAGAGGTTATGTGAATATTCTCTCTTTCTCTTGATAAAATAAAGGATATTGATGTCTCCTATATTATTACGGTCGTCGTACTAAAGAAAGGATAGGAAAAATGGTTTTCAAGTTGTTTTTACTAAAATAAATTATTTATTCATTGCCTGTCCCTTGTAAAATTTCTAACCGGAATTTTCTTAGGCTACAAACGCTTATTTCCTCTTATACACTGTCAAATAAACATGTTTTAAATCGTAAGGACAGCAGAGAAGGAAGAGGTAGAAAGACTCCTTCTTTCAATTAAATTTAGGATAAAATTTTGTTAAATAAAAACTTGAATTAAAATTGTTAGCATTATCTAATATGCATATAAAAGAGAGTCTCAAAGGGACGTTTTTATTGAGAATATTCTCTTTTCTTATAAAAAAATAATCGGCTATCTATATATATTATTTGTACTTTCTTGTCCCTGCATTGCAATTAATAATCTATTAGAGGATAATAAAGGTGCCTGTACATCGAATATATTCTAATTAGTACCATAAATTTCAAGCATATTAAATACACATACATATATATCATTTAAAAGAACAAGAACAAGAACAAAAGAACCCAAAATAAAATCATGACATCAAAACAAGATAACAATAATAGAAACTCCACAGATTCAAGTAATTTTGAAGATATTTCATCATTTGATTCACAGAATTCTTTTGCCCCTCAAGAATTTAAAGGCAATTTAGATTCAAATAATGATAACGATACTGGTGTATTCAATAAGACAAAGAGTGGCACAAGTGAAACCAATACATTAAAAGTCAATTCATCTAACGAAATTGAAAAAATTGTCACTAGAAATGCATTGGAAAACAACACAGAAACTGTAGCTACATTGAGGGAAACTGAATCAAAACTTTCAAAAGTGCCTACTGAAAATGTATTACCTGCAACCATGGAAAATAATGCAGCCTTTCCTGAAGAGTACAGAATTGAAACAAAAACTGGGTTAGTTCCAATTAAGACACTAGAAGAAATGCATAGTAATAAATCAAATGGCAAAAATGAAGAAAATGAACATCATAATCACCAACATAATCACCATAATCATCATAATCATCATCATCATCATGAAAAAAATGATGAAGATAAAGATGTTGAACAGAAAGAAAAACACCCTGCTGAACATTTACCTCATGGTAAATTAGAGCAAAAAAATATAGATATTGTAGTAGAAAGAAACAAGAAGCAATTAGAGAAATGGGAAGAGCACAAACATGAAATCAATCCTGTAAAAAAGTTTATTTATAAATTTTTAGATTCATACCAATAATTCATTTTTATGAATGTGAATTAATCACATCCCAACTAATTGTTTCAATTACTAAGATTATATAGTAAAGATAACTACAGTAATATCACTTCTAATATCATTTTACCATTGCTAATTTAATCCAGAAAGAGAGGGTGATATTAACTTCATCGAAACGTCTTTACTTAAAGCAAGAAGAGAAGAATGTGTGTTATGTTGCCTTTAAATATATATTCGGTATTAATCGATATCCTCATTTCCTTAAGTTAACATCATTTTTTTGTAATGAAAATATAATTAAGTGATGATAAAATGAATAATCAACTATTATTAAAGCATTCGTTTAGTGTACTGAATGAATGTTTGGAAACCATGATTGTATCAGCCAAGTATATCAATTTATGATACATTTTATGCATATACGTATTAAATAGTGAATTTAGTAATTTACCTTCTTATGTAGTGTTCATTTATGATTATTATTCTAAAAATAAAAACTATAGCATCACCTGTTTGTTAAAAGGATAATTAAATATATATAAACTGTTATAACAATTGAAAAAATTCTATATGATTTATATTCTTCACGGGTTTAGGTTAAAAAGGGATGAACTAAGTAGTCTTGAAGGAAATATTGGAAAAGTCATTTTAAAAGTTAATATAGTTTTAAAATATAAATTTAAACATACAAGGCTGGCAAATATTTAAGAACAGGTCGATTGGAGAACAAATTAATTACAAATATATTTAGACAATGTGTATACTTCTAGCATCAAGAGATCATCCTAATTATGATCTAATATTGATTTCCAATAGGGATGAGTTTTTACAAAGGAGAACTCATGAAACATGTTGGAATCAAGGTGAATATGCAAGAATTCTTTGTCCTTATGATATGTCTAAGAGTAATGAAAAAAATGTTAATAAAATTGGTACTTGGTGTGGGATAAATGAGTTTGGTCGAGTTTCAACAATATTAAATTTGAAAAATGACGATAGCTTTCAGAGTTCAGTACCAAGCACAAAAAAATCTAGAGGTGCATTACCTATAAAATTTTTAGATAATAAAGAAACTGATAGTCTCCTTAACTGGGATTCATATGAAAAGTTTGTTAAAGAATATCCTTTCGTTAAAGAGACTGGTGATTTTAATTTCTTTTATGGCGATGTCAGAATTGGTAAATATAATGTCATCGATTCAATTGGTAGCACAAATGAGGTATTGACTGTAGATAATCCATATCTAGTAATTTCTAATGATAAATTCGGAAAATCTAATGGTAAAAGTACAAAAGAATGGGAGAAGATAACTTTAGCTAAAAATTTATTGAAGCATCTGCCATTATGCGAAACTGAGGATGATTTAATACATAAATGTTTCGATATCGCATCTACTAATACTTTGAATGAAGACTTGATTAAAGATGTTGATGTCAGAGAATTGATGACTGAAACTATACTTGTGCCACCATTAAACGTAATGACTAAAGAAGAAAAGGAAAAAATTGGAGCGTCATTACCAATTGGTCAATATTATGGTACAAGATCACAAATCGTGATATTAGTAAATAAAAACCGTACAAAGGTTAAATTCATTGAAAGAATTTTATATAATAGTGATGATGATGTCACAACACAGAAATTATCAAGTCCAATACAGGACTTGACATATAATTTTACGATATAATGAAGTTCATTAGGACATGATAATATTCAATTTACGTAGCAATATGAAATTTTACATTGAAAACTATGGCATTAATATCTTATAAGAGTTTTAAGGTATATAATTTATATATAATTTGTTTATTTAAATTTATTCTTCTAAACCATTTAAAATTTTTAAATTTGATTCAATTTCTTGAATGCATTGCTTGTAGTACACCAATTGAAAGTTTTGATATAATTTAACTAGATTAATAATTTTTGAATTATCAGTCAACTCTTCCATTTTTTCCACTGCATTTTGGGTATTAGAAACAAATTCATCTTCTAATTTTTCTAATAATTTGTTATCATTATCATTTTCAGTATTACCTTCATTTGTGATATCTTCTTTCTTATTAATTTCCTTCTTTGGAGTTTCTTTCTTTGAAGCTTCTTTCTTTGGGGTTTCCTTCTTTGAAGTTCCCTTCTTTGACACATCACTTTTGTCTTCAGCTTCCATTTCAACTTCAGGTTGTGGTTTTTTAACAGATTCCACTTTGAATCAG